CCAAGGGTTGCCCAAAAAAGGATCATGAACGTTAGAGCTTTGTCCTGTTTCAATGAAGGCATACTGGATTATCTGCTCTCTGAATTAATTGATTGATTTATCATATTTAGAGATCACCCACCTTCCTCACAGATAGACTCATTTACCAACTCAATTTACTAATTGCTTGCCTTGCCCTAAGACCAGAGGTGGGATTCAACAGGTTCTGACCAGTTCTGGAGAACCAGTAACAGAAATTTTGAGTAGTTTGGAGAACTACTCAAAATACCACCTCTGACTGGACCTGCCCCCACCTATTCTCTGCTTCCTGAGTCCCAGCTGATCGGCTGAGTCTTCTTTTGTTGTCCTGCACAGGAGAATGGAGCTGGAAAGCAGGTTAGTGGGGAGGGAATAGGATTTTGCAGTAACCTTCCCCCAGGATTGGGGTGGGAATGGAGATTTTGCAGTATCCTTCCCCTGCCATACCCACCAAGCCAAGCCCACCAAGCCAAGCCATGCCCAAGCCATGGCCATAGAACCAGTAGTAAAAAAACATGAATCCTACCACTGCCTAAGACTAAAAGATTAGTAGCACTGGTTCATTCTCCAACTCCAGTACTTTGACAACAGCCAAAGACATGAGTCACTCAAGGAAACAGCAGACCTTCTTCTGAAGTTGAAAGGGAAACTCATGAATGTTCACCATCCAGTTGTAGAGACAAATACATCTAGAACTTCAGCATTGATTGATTTTCGCTATTTAGCTATTACTCAATGGCAAAAACTCTTGAGATGATCATATAACATGTACATAAACCAGGAGTTACAGCAAAAACATCATCTGAGTAGCAGATGATGCTACCAGATTTGGGTGACAATAAAATGGAGAACCCTTAGATGGGAACAATATCTGCTTTATATAAAAGGAATTATATCAGTGACAGAAGAGCTTTATTTTTAGAATCCTGAAGGAAAAGTGAAATTAATATATTGAAATATAATAAATGTGACAATTTAAACATAAAATATTCACCTTACAAATGATTCACTTCTAACTTAATAGAATACTATAGTTTTAAAATAGTACAGGTCGAGAAGCACTCAAACTTCATAGGTCTATCATCATCTCACCTTCCCAGGACCTGTAAATTGGGAAACTGTGATAGACCTCTCTGTAACTTTTTGTGCAATATGTATATTGGACTGTAAAAAAAAAACCCAACTAACAATGTGCAAATTGTACATACCTGGTTCATTGGTTTATTACATGGTTCAGAGTGTCATGCAATTGCAGAAAATTGGGCAACCGATGATTAAATTAATCATGGATTAAATTAAAGAGCCTGATATCCTCCTATCATTTTTGGGATTCTTTGAGATAATACATAATGACACAAACTGAACTTTTAGGGACTCTTACAGTGATATAATTTCATTCAGACAGTTGTTGGTTGATTAGCAATGGGACTAGAAGAATATAGCTTCAAAGCAACAGAAAGGAGAAAATAGAGAGAGAGAGAGAGAGAGGGAGGGAGGAGGAGAGAGAGATATATATGATTTTTTCCCCCAGATAGAGGCTCATTAACTTTCGTCAACTGGTGCTTAACAGTGCAGATAAAACAAAAATGGAATAAATGTGAATTCTAATTAACATGTTTTATTGTAGGAGACAAATGCAAAATGGGTGGAGGGATCTCCCTTTGTTGTTTCTACATCTCAGAACTGAATTTTCATTAAGAATGCATGACAAACTTCAGGGAAAAACAAAGTCCAGTTGCCTTTTGAAAATGCACCTTTGGGGCAACCATGACCTGGATGACTGAGAATCTCCATAGACATGACAAACTTCAAGTATCTATGTTATTTTGCATAACAGTAAATGTTCAAACCCTCCAGATATATGTGTGGGTATGTGTATGTGTGTGTGTGTGTGTGTGTGTGTGTGTGTATACACACACACACACAGACAGACAGACAGACAGACACACACACATATATGTTATTCAGCTTTGTTTGGGTATTTTCCCACGTCATTATAGTTGTGCTTTTAAAGTTGTAGCAACGTTTCGGCAGAATCTCATCTGCCATCATCAGGCTTCTGTATTGTGTTTGTCTGTGAGCCAGACTTTTACAGTTGTTTCAGTTTTAAATTTGGGGCTAGCCTACTGCTGTGCCAGAATAGTTTTTTTTTTCATCCTGATTGGTTGGGAGTCTTGGTCTGTTTTTATTGGTCTTGGAGTTTGCTGTGTCCTGCTTGATTGGTGTTTCTAATATCTTCTGTCTGTTTTGTGGCTTTTTTTGTGTCTTGATTGGCTGGCAACATTTTGTTCCTATATTGGAGGCCTTTAGTGAAGCTTGGCTCTGAGTAAATGGACGTCTATCATTTGTTAGGAAGCTAGATTTCATCTGGGTGCCTGGTTGGGGTGTGTTTGAGCTGGAGGTATCAGGGGGTATCTGTTTGTGCCCAGGTGTTTGCCTGGCTAGTGGTGTGGAGATTTTTTTGTTTGTAAGTGCAGGCTTCCAAATGATTGACAGTCTGGTGGAATCAACTCTTCTATTCATGCTTTCAGGACTTTTTTCAATCTCTATGGCTTCTCTGATAATTCTGTGGCTGGAGTTTTCTATAGTGGCTAGGGTTTTGGTGCCATTGAAGTTGGTGCTATGACCTGTGGCTTCCATGTGTTGGACTAGTGAGGAAGTGTGTTCCAGCTTTTTTACTGCATTTTTGTGTTCATCCAGGCGGGTACTTATTCTTCTATTGGTCTCTCCAATGTATGTGGCAGGGCATGATGCACAGGGGACTTCATATATGCCTTGGTTTTCCAGGTCAGTTTTATCTTTGGGGTTTCTAAGGATGCCTGCTATTTTTCTGTCTGTTTTGAAGGCAGTCTTGATGTGATGCCTGTGTAGTATCTTACTGATTTTGTCTGTAGTACCTCTTATGTAGGGCAGGACAGTTGTTCCATAGGTCTGTTCATCTTCTAGGTCTCCATTATGTCTCAGTGTGTTTTTGTGGATCAAGCCGGTGATTTTGCTTTTGTGGGAGCCATTGGCTGTCAGTACTTTAGTCAGGGTGCATAGTTCAGTCTTTATGTGTGTCGTGTCTGCCAGGCGTTTAGTTCTAGCAATTAGTGTTTTGGCCACAGAGTTTATCTGTGCTGGGTGGTGGTGGTCACTACCTTATTAAAATGTGAAAAGATGTGAAATCACAATACCTCATTCAGATGTATAATAACATATTACAGTACAATCCATCTCTTGTGTATTACACTCAGCAAAACGTCACAGTCAGTGTTGGATGTATATTTTGTGTATATTTGTACACAAAATTGCAAATGGAGATGTGGGTACTCTATTTTTCTTATCTTCATCTTTAAGTGCTCTGGTTTTATTGTTTTGTGAACAGTTGCTGGAGTGCATCCACAGTTTCGTTGTACTTGTACAATGACAATAAAGTTCTTCTTATATTATCTTCTTATCTTAGACACAATAATCTTCCTTACTACATTGCTCTGAATAACTACAAAGTGTTAACTGTATAACTACAAAGGATCTAACACAAAAATTGTGTTAGATCCATATTTACAGTAAATCAATTGATCGTGACTAATTTGATCAAATGATTATTAGTGAAAAATATATCCTAAAATTGTGTTCTTATATGATTTTATTCTTTATAAAAGATACAGGTTGAAATTGAATTTTGGACTTTAGCTGTAGATCTTAAAACCGGCAACTAAAAAGATGCCAGCTCATTTTTTATATATAAATTCCATCAAAGTTGATAAATGCTGATATGGGAAATTAATTTCATCTTGCCATTTTTATTTAGAATTAAACAGAAGAAAATTGAGTGAAGTTAAATGTGAGCTCAAGTGCTTCTTTAATTATCATACTCTGGTTTACCATATAATTGCAGAACTTTTTAAAACCCTAAGCCATAGGATAGACAATAGTACATACTAAAAATCTTCTTGCTTTTCAACTGGGAAAGTCATCCAACTTTAACATATTATAATTTCATCCATGTATACTACATTCTTCCTTAATTTGTACGTGCCCTTTCTTCTTATTTCTTTCCTTTTCTGAACCTCGCATTTCTGATATAAATGCAGGAGTGCAATACAGTTCTTTGGATCCCAAGACAAACATTTTAGATGAGGCCCCCAGTGCTGAAAGAATTCAGATGCTGACCCTTCCACACCCCCAGGGATGGCAACTACAGGCAGGTAGGATAAAAAGAGGATCATGCCTTTGCTTTTTTTACTCACTACCATAGCAATAATTCTCCTCCCTTTCTCAGTCATCCTCCCCTTCTGCTTGATCTCCTGCACTCCTACATTCATGTTTTAGGAAATAATACTTCATCCCATTGTCCTTGAAATGCAACAGATTCCAGTTTACATTTACAGCCAGCACAGGAACAAAGATAAAGAAAACTGCACTTAAATTAAGCACAGAAATTAAGATTGAAATGAAGTTATAAAGATAATAGAAGCTAGTCATTCTTAATATATTTTAGGTATAACAAAATCTAGAAACATTTCTGAAACAAAATCCAGTTAACTTGTGCATTCATTTTGTTACATATTTATATTTATTCCATGTATTTATATTATACCTCTAACTTTTATTGCAATACTAAAATCAATCAGGAAGGACTAAGTTCAGTAAGTTTCCTTCAAAAAAAATGGTAAGATACAGAAAATTCACTGAAATAAAAGAGATTTCCTTATAAGCCAAGAGAGGGAATGAATGACTATATGCATGACTACACAGAAGCAAACCCTCGTATTTAGTAAGACTTGATGCAATTAATCACGAGGTGCCAACTGGGGCACTTCAGTTCTCTAAACGCCTACTCTGAAGTTCAACAGAGCTTGCTCCCAGCAAAATCTTTTTGCAGACTATACCAGATTAGCCTAAAAGATGGTGGGGCTTGAATCTGGTAGCTGTTTTCTGATGAGTTAATCATTCCACATAAGTTTGTGGGGAGAGACATCATGAGGAAAAAGTTTCATCTAGTAAGCTTCATAGTAGAATGAACTTGTAAGGCTGCTGTCCTGTTGAAGGTCACAGCCTTTTTGGTTTATGCAGTTTTGATAAGTAAGCCAGTCAGCTGCATACAGGCATTCCTGTTCAGCTTTAACAAATTGATCATCAATATTTCCATCTTTTCCTGAAAAGCAAGCTAGAGAGAGCTTTCGCAAAACCACAGCACCAAACTGATAGGTCAGCTTTCTTCGAATTTTAGTTATTTCTCCCGTTCTCCCATAATTCCTCAGGGCTCTTGCCATTTTCTGGTAGGTCATGACTTTCCGGTTCCCTTTGCGTTCCCCCCACTGTTCTGCCAATTTCTCCTTGTTTTTGGAAATAAACTGGAAGACACCATTGGCTTTATCTATCCACTGGATACAGTTTGCCATGTCTGGATTATGAAGAGACTCAAGAATATATTCAAACAGTCGTAGTCTTTTCCGACCTGCCCAGAAGCAAAACGACAAGACTATCAATGGAATGGGTATATGATTTAATTTATTTTGGAATTTCAACAGGAATTAAATGAAACCTTAGCACGATTCAGTTATGAAAATTGAGATTGAGCAATTGGCTGAAGTTACTGTAAGTTAAATGCACCATGAGTCATTTTCTAGTTAACTGCACCAAAACTGGGCTCATAAGCCTTAATGTGCTTTATTTGTTTCTGATCTAGTATGACATGTAAGTTTAGTCACTGTGTTCTAATAAACCATGACTTTGAATTGTATATACATAAGGCCATTATAGCTTGCTCAATAAACAATAACTTAAACAATTGATGGTTTAATGCAAGCCATCAACACATCCAGCAAGGCTATTACAGCACAGTATATGATTAAAAATAAAAAGTGGGTTCTCAAATGTGTGTTTTATCAGACACACTCTTCTTTTAATCTGATTGGAAGCATCTTGTATTATTAGGAATGTCAAGTTTCCTTCTCGGTTCCAAAGTTCCCAAAATTCCTTGGAAGACAAAATAATTATTAACCTGGGACAATTGTCCACTGATGTAAACTGGAAACTTCTAAATATGTTAATACAGATTTCCTATAGTTCCCATTGTTGGATATTCTGGAAGCAGCAAACCCAAAATTTTTGGGAAAGTGGGTTGGGAAAGACTGATCTGAAATTCAGGAGTGATGAGGACAACCTCATCTCTGGGGGAGGAGGTTGAAGTTTCCACAATGCAAGTACCACAACAGAAAAGGCCTGCTGGTTAGAGCCTGCCAAATGCTGTTCCAACTCATTCTATTGGATCTGGTGGGACAGGCAGATACTCCATTAGGTCTTTTGTGAAGCATCTCCTTCCCTCTTCCCACTTGTATCTGAATCTCATTTTTCTTGTCACTGTGATCTGGAACTTTGATTCTTCAGCCACTTATCATTGAATGATTAACCTAAAGCAGGGGCCTTCAAACATGACAGCTTTAAGACTTGTGGACTTCAACTCCCAGAATTCCTCCTCCAGTTATGTTAGCTCAGGGATTCTGGGAGTTGAAGTCCAGAAGTCTTACACTTGGCAAGTTTGAAGACCTAAAGAGTGGTAGCTGCCAAATCCTGAGTTCTGGTCCCTTCTGTGCTAAGGAACATATAATAAGTGGAAGGGCAAGGAGGGAAGGGAGGGTAGAATTGATCAGGTTCCCTCACCTATAGTGCAAAAGGAAGGAGGATAATAACTCAGAATCAGAATGATGTACATGTGAAAATCAAGATTTTTACAAACCTCTGTTGCTTTTTTGCTGGAGAACTGTGGTATACATCTTTTCATTTTCTGGAACAGTCTTCAGGGCACAATAGCTAGCTCCAGAATACAAGTCAGTGTCATTCTTACAAACGTAGGCAATCACAATGGGAAGAAACATAACATTATAGCCATTAACCAATCAACAGGGAAGAAATAAGATAAACATAGGCAGCCAGTAAAAGCCACAATGAATGCCCAATGCATCTCGACATCATCATACAAAGTGAAAAGTGACATCACCTGTTCTACCCTGTGAATGCCCCTGGTTAATAATTACCCATTTCTTGTGATTTGGGAGAAAAGTAACAGAGTAGAGTTTGGGTAGAACATTCTAGATCAGAGGTCTCCCACCTTGGTGACTTGGCTTTGCTAGCTGGGGAATTCTGGGAGTTGAAGTCCACCAGGCTTAAAGTCACCAAGGTTGGAGACCCCTGTTCTAGATCATGCATAGAATCAGGAACAAAATCAGAAAGGTTGAGGAAGCAAAGGGAAGAAACTACAGTACTAACAAAAAATAATGTATAGGAGTCAGAATCCCCCAAGCAACCTCCAAGAGATGGATATGACTGAATGGATAATATCATCATTGTATATGATCAGATTGCTTGGGGATTATGGCTTCTCTCTTATTTTCTTCAAATCTTCCCAAAATATATTTTTAATCATAATTCATAGGGTTCGACTGTGTGCAAGATACATGTTGGTTGAAAGTAAGGATTAAAACTTGTTTCTGTTCCTTTTATGGTTCTATGCCTGGATCAATAATATTCAGGTTTTATGAATGATCTTATAAGCACAATATGGTGCTTTTAAGCAACCCTTTTACTGATATCTAGATGAAATTTATCTTCAGGCAGTCAAGGATAAATTGGAACCCCATTTACACAATAAATTAATATGACTTCTTGTGATAAGAGAATTTTATAGTCCCTTAATTAGGACCATACTGAACTTTTAGGCATATTAACAGAGAAGTAGCTTCTACAGAGTGCAATAAGATTTATTATCAAAGTAGGATTCATAAGGTTACACTCTTGGTAATTCTCCTCTTGTCATCACTAATGATAAAGCCTCCCATAAATTTCTAAATACCAAACAGAGTGGCAATATTTTTGAAACTTAAACTGTACTTTAAAAAAAAGATATCAAAGCAATACAAAGCTTAAAAAATTAAATTAATAAATTAAATTAAATTATTAATCCCTTGTAAATTTTAATGTTTCACTTACTGTTGTATTATTCCAGTTATATGTTGTTTCTCCAGTGAAAGACTCAGACAAGTTATTCACATTTGTTTGGAAAAGATTGTGATGCCAAGTCAGATAGTTTTTGTAATCTCCTAAGGAAATAAATGACTAGAATATGTGAGAAGGAAAAATGAAGGAAAGGAAATCAAAATAATCCACAGAAGACTGGAATCCTGTTTTAAGCCCAGTTATATTTTTTCCTCAGTCATGTGAGTAAAACACATTTGCCAGAGGCATTTTATTTTACCTATGTGGAAAATGTAGGGTTAACTTAAAGAAAAGTCAAATCTGAGGACAGACAGATGTTTCTTGCCCAATTGTGAGCATGGTTGGAAAAAGTGGGGTCTGCAAACATCTTTTCTGCAATTCTGAGCCCCTTCATAGTGGTTGAGGTTTTTTAAAAATGGACTTTTTGATATATTTGGGGAACCTGGGGGGATTATGGGAGAAAATAGCACCTTATAGAAACTGAAGCCTAATTTACTTCTTTTACCCCTTAATACCCCTGAGTCCTTACTCCAAGCAACTGAGTCCAGCCCCATTCACATAGGGCAGGGATCTCCAAAGTTGGCAACTTTAAGATTCATGGACTTCAACTCCCAGGATTCCTCAGCTAGCCATGCTGGCTGGGCAATTCTGGGAGTTGAAGTCCACAAGTCTTAAAGTTGCCAACTTTGGAGACTCCTGACATAGGGCTATGTCCTTTGAGTCTATTTGTTTATTTATTATATATTTAAGCTATCACAATCATGGAACACTGGGTAGTTTACAAGTCTAATGTCCATTAATGACGGACTGACTGATTGACTGACTTACTATGTGCCATCAAGTCAGTGCTGTCTCTGAGTTGACCATATCAATCCAGGCTAGGTCTCCAAGGTCCAGGATCCTGGCTAGGTCTTCCAATAAAGCACCCATTTCCCCAGAGTTTGTTTGAGCCTGCTTGTGAGAGGTTAACATGGTCAGATTGAGCCTGATCTCTAGTGGTAAACTGTTCTACCATGAGTGGGAAGTTACAAAGAAGCTTTTTTTTTTCTTCCTGTAGCCATCAAGCATGAAGAATCAGGATCACATGTATGTTACAATTCAGAAGATTTATTGTTCAACCCCATACATAAGAATCTGGTTAAGTAGCAATCAGCACTAAATTGATGCTAGATAACAGAATTCAAGAGGGGCTGGACTTGTAGCATTTGTGGACATGTAGAAATAGCAATAGCACTTAGACTTATATACTGCTTTTCAGTGCTTTACAGCCCTCTCTAAGTGGTTTACAGAGTCAGCATATTGCCCCCAACAATCTATGTCCTCATTTTACCAACCTTGGAAGGATGGAAGGCCAAGTCAACTTTGAGCCTGGTGAGATCTGAACTGCCAAATTGCAGGCAGACGGCAGTCACAACAGAAGTAGCCTGCAGTACTGCATTCTAACTATTGCGCCCCTGTGGCTCATAACTCATGTAACAATTCTAGGCTAAGTTCTCTCTTGAGTCCACCCCTAGGGACTACCTGCTGTTCTCCTATAGTAGCCCTTTGAGTCTCTTGAAGTGGGATACTTTGGATGTATAGAGTAAATATCCCAAGTCTTTAAGTAGTGGGTAACGCAATAGATAGCAAATATTGATCTACTCTGAAGATCATCTACCGGACAACAAATTGATTAAAAAAAGAATTCCCTGAATTCTCTCTATATGTCCTGTTTTGCCCTTAATGTGATTTATCAAGTATTTTATGTTGAATGTATTAGATTTTTAAAAATTATATTTGCACAAACCTCTATAAATATCCATACACATTCATTCAGAAATGTAGAAACTAATTATAATAAAACCAGTGAATTGACCTTGTTGTTTCATTTTTACCTGGCATATAATTGTTGGTGCCATCAGAATGTTGCTGTAATACCTCCAAGGCATCTTCAAGAGCTTGTCCAAATAAGTCTTGGCCTGTAAAACTCTGCAACCATAAACATTGGTTTGATTTGGTTTGCCTCTGGGCAGTGGAAAGGAAGCAAGAGCCAGGATAATTAAATGGAACATTGGAACACAGACTTGGGTATCTGAGCCTTCATAAAGGAAAGATTGTGTCCCCCTTTGCTCTCCCCTGAGTCACATAATACAGTATAAATTAGCAATGTTGGTTCAGCTAATTTGGATGCCCCCTTGGTGGATGAGTAAAGGATTTCTGGAAGTTGCAGTCCCAAATAGTCAGGCTGAAAAAAATTGAACCATGTGACCCCAGACTGATATAACTAAGCTTTTGGGAACCATCCTTCTCCAATCCTATTTTCTGCCCAAATGATAAGAAGGTTAAAACAGATATTCTCTATCTACTCATTAGCTGAGTGTGTTAGAAGGAGCTTTTCTTTTTGCAGACTGTGAATGAATGTCCTTTTGAATATTTCTTGGTGCATAACCAGTAGATACTCAGAGCTCATTCTCATATATGTTCAGTGAACAGCTAGCAGAAATAGCTGGCCCTGATTGCTCTGACAGATTTTCCTGAAAAGGGCCACAGCCAACTCGCCACGGCAATTCACTATGGACCAGCTCATCACAGCCAACTCTCCATGGAATAAAAGTTGCATAATAACAAAAAAAAAAAAAGAGAGAGAGAAATAGAATCATTAAGGAAAGGATGCAAAAAGAGGGACAAAATGAAATGTAAATGACAAAAAATAAAATATTTTAAAAATCATTTTAAATAATGAAATGAAATTGTTGAATTTTCCTGTGACAAGTTTTCCCATAGCGAATTGTTACATGGAAAGTTGGCTGCGGCAAGCTGCCCACGGTGAATTGACAGTAGGGAGTTGGCCATGGCAAGTTGTCCCCTTCCGTTTTGCATTACTTTTACATAGCTCTTAAAGACACAAGATGTGTCTTCCCCACTAGGGAAAATGCATGAAGCCCCAGGTTGGACTTCAAGTACATTGGCTACCAAAAATGAGCACAGAGTAATGTTTGGAAAACTGAAATGTACCATAGATTTAATTAGCCATTTAACTACAAGACATCTTTTATCATTACAATGTCCTTATTCTTCATTCATTTTATAACTAATATTTACTTGCCTATCTAATATTAGTCCAGTTATAAAATCAATTTGGAATGTATGCAAGTTAGGTAGACATTATATATTTATTAATTATTGTTGGATTAATATTCTACTTTTTTCTTTGGATCTTGAGATGACAAGCGTAGTATTCTCTCCTCCTGTTTTCTGATACTAACAAACATTTTTGGGCTGGGAAATAGTAAATTACAGGCCCAGATCACCTACTGAGATTCCATGGATGAAGGTAGATCCAAATGTGAATTGTACTGGTTCTAACTCATACTCCTTTATAAATGATTCTTAGATACAAATGGATAATTGTCCTCAAACAAGACATTAAGAGTTTGTACTTACCATTCTAAAATCCCAAATCAAATCTTCAAGCCTGTGAGAGAGATCAAACAGCATAATTTATTAAAGTAGTGCTTCATTTTTCCAGATGTCATACAGAAATTATATATTGTGAACTTAGACTGAATTCCTGATATTAGGGGCACTTATTAAAAATTCAGGCTGTAAACTTATTCATCAGTGTATTCCCCAAAGTAGTTTTTGGCAACAGAGGCAAATTACTTCTATTAAGAAGCTGGTGGTTCAAATTAATCAAAATCAGATAGGATTAATATTAGCAAATGATTAGCCTGTTAATTACTTATTTACTTTGTCACATTTTTAGTTCTTATGGTATGTAACCATTTCTCTCTATAGATATACGTACACTAGAATCCTTTAACCTTTATGTTGAAATAAAATGAAAATATTTGCACTACAGGGTTTAAACATAAATATTTTAAAAACACAGCATCATTTGAGCATTGTGTTATTTTTCCCCCCACCAACTTTTTAATTGATGCAGTGCTTATAGCATCTATCCCACATTTGGAGAGACACATATGTTTTCAGTATTTGGTGTTTGTCCTTTGAAACAGGTTTTAAAAAAAAACTCTTAAGTTTTCAACCACATACTTAGAAAGGCAAAAGAAAATAAATAAATAAATAAAAAGAACATATACAGAACCATATCTGGAATTCTATAGATTCTGGAATAATCTACTTAAATTTATGAGTGAAAGGAATGAAACAATGAAATATGATATTATAAATACATTTTGATTTCATGGCCGCAGTTGGGATAAATATGCACTGAATGCCTTGTGTAGGTTTGAGCTGCTCCAAAAAGCTTTGCAAATATTAAAGTTTTGAAAAGCAGCCGTAATTCAGCCTTGGAAGGAAGAGCATGGCATTCTTGTACAACCATCAGGATGTCCAGAGGGGGAAGAGGAAATTTTATTTAAAAAGGTCAGGATTATGGTTGCAATTGCCAACTTGACATTTTTACATCTGCCTCACAAACACACAACTAACACCCCTGAGACGGTACTAGTAAGATGGTACACATTTCAAAAATGACTTGGAAGTCATTTTTGGTTAAATTTCCTCCCTACTTTGTTATTCATTAAAACACATAATTTTCTTCTGAAACTGAAGAAAGATGCTTTAAAGAGTTGCATTAACAAGGTATCATAGCTTTAAAAGGCTGCTGATATAAAAAAGCGGCAGCATGTTTTCAAGCTTGCACAGAAGTCTAATAAACAAGAGGCAGCATTGATGAGAAGCAGAAGGAGGGTATGTTCATGTGGGGTCCAAGGAAGTCCTTTCAAATCATTTTTGAAGATCGAACAGCCCTAAGCCTTCATGCCTTTAGTGTTCCATTAAGTTGTGACCATAATTCATAAAGATAAACTGATGTTTGCTACCAGAGTTTTGTGTGGAAGTTGTCCAGATGTTCCTCCAAATAAAGTAAAATAATATTAAATGCCACATTTTTCAAGCAATTGCCTCTAAAACAATATCCACCAAACAAGCGGCATTCAGATGATTCCTCTACAACTCAACTAGTTCTTCCTGCTTATATCAAACTGAACTTAGAGATACCAGCTGTTAATGGTTTGTTACCACAAACAAGACCCTTGTGTTAATTTTTATTTGGAGCTAAGCCATTAGCTGTCCAGGTTACAGGAGACAAGTTGACAGATGAACACCGGGAAAATCAGCTCTAGCTTCAACTCCCGGTATCCTGAAGCAACTGTTAGAGCTTACATAATTACTGGCATTGACATATAACTTCTTGCTGTCCCTTTACACTGGGACAGCACATGCTATTTGTAATGAGCCGCCGTTAATACCTGTGCCATTATTATCCCAAGAAATGCCATGCATTTTGAACTAACCACCCTTTTAAATGAATCCCATCATTAAAAAAATAGGTAGAATAAGGCTAAGAAATTGGTCTCCTCCAGGTGCAATAAATTATAATTCTCATGTTTCCTTATCATTTTGCCCATACTGGCTGAGATGATGGAGCTGGTCTCAGTCTAATAGGGGACATCTGGGATGGTCTGGCACTCTAGCTCCAATCATCCAGTGTTATTACACCTTTGGTTATACCCACTAAAATATATTTTTCTCTAACCTGGAATCAGTCTTGTACATACCTGTCAATCTCTTTCCATGCACTCACCTGGAGACTTCTAGAAGGAAGCGGAAATAGGACTAAAGCTAAAAGAGTGGATTTTTTTTTAAAGCAGCTTGCTAAGGAATACCTGCTTTGATGGAACAGGGATTGCTAACAGCTACAGAAGTCAATCAGTAGAGGGGCTGTATTATGTAGACAGTTTTAGGGAAGTATTCCATTTGGGGATTTCTTTGCAAATAAAAGATGTGGTACAGTACTGATGTATAAAGATCGCCTTTACATAGACAAAAGCAGTGAGAAAAAAGGAAGTTCCTTAAAGTTACAGAGAGGGCAACCATCTGGGTAAAATGGACACTTTTGTTGAAAACAAAACAACTGGAATAAGTTATTTCCAAACAGTTATTTGGAAATAACTGTTTTAAACCAGGTAAAACTTCAAAGCCACTCCATCGCAGATTTTTAACAATGACAAACTATCCAGTCATTGAAAGGTTTCAAGCAATCTCAAAAAGACTCAACAAACATACTAAGTTTTTACACATTACAATTGTTAATTCATAAACTAATCATATTCTGTCTTACATGTACATATGTGCATGTACATAACTAAAATAGTTTTTCTTCCCTCTTTTGAATCTTACATCAGTCTAGATCAGGGCTGTCAAACTCCCGGCCCACAGGCTGGATGCATCATACGCTGCCAATGCCCACCCCGGTTCAGCAAAGTGGATAAAAGTTGTGATATGTCACCTGACAATGTGACGCTGTGAGTTTGACACCTCTGATCTAAATATACTAATGCATCTGATGAAGTGAGCTTCAGCTTACAAACACTTATGCCTTTTAATACAATTCGTTAGTCAGAGAAGATGCTACCAGATTCCTGATCGATTAAGTCAGCTTTCCTCCTGTAATGTAAAACTTTTAGGAAAACCAAGGGCTAAGATTTAATCAGACAAGAGATATGAACTGTAGACTGAACTATATTTTTGTTAACATTGTGCAAAATTGTAGCTAAGAATCTATTAACTGGCTTCATATATAATGTCAAACTAGGAGCCCTTTCAGGGTTTGGATTACAGCTCCCAGGGTGGTTGGGCTAACACAAATTGAAATCCTAAACAATTGGAAAGCACCAAGGTGTTTACTTTGACATGAAGCGTGATTTATAAATTCCGTGGATGGGTTTTCAAAGAAATTAACTTATTCTCATTGCTTGATTAAAACTTGGGGAAATCTGTTTTAGGCATGGTCCATTTTATTATTCTTGACTGGAGATATCACTTAACAATATGGAGACATTAGAACAGTAATTACAGCGGACTTGTCAATGCTTGTAAATGATGATGGAATGATTCTGTGACATGACAGAGGGCACTGGTAGGGGAAATGGCCAGTGGTGGGATTCACATTATTTTACTACCGGTTCTGTGGATGTGGCTTGGTGGGTGTGGCAGGGAAAAGGATACTGTAAAATCTCCAGTCAGAGGTGGTATTTGCCGGTTCTCTGAACTATTCAAAATTTCCGCTACCGGTCTCCAGAACTGGTCAGAACCTGCTGAATGCCACCTCTGGAAATGGCCAAGGCCAAGCCAATGGGAAGCATCCTGATGTCCATTCGTTTCAATAAAGACATTAAGGAAATACTTTAGTTTCTCCCATTCATAGAATTAAATTTTAATTTTTTTCTGGAAAAAGGAAGAGGAAAGGAGTAGAAATGTATCAGTCTGAAAAGAAATTACTATAAGAGAGTTATCCTATCAGGGAGCTGGGCAGCATATATATTTAATAAACAAATTAAATAAAAAATAAAGGGAGGGGTTTTTGTTTTGTTTTGCTATTTTTTTACAACCTGCTATCAGCTGAAGTAGAATTGTTTTTAATCATTATTAAAAAGGATAATACTTCAAAATTCTATTGAACAAGGCTCTGGTCATCGAAGTCTGAACAAAAATGCTTTCAAGACACCAGTGTTTTTATCCTTAGCTTCCACATAAACAATTGACCTACAACTTTCTTAATTTCT